ATCATCATCATCATCATCATCATCATCATCATCATCATCATCATCATATACGATATATTCATAAGTATTCATATATAATTAATATACATACACAGTAGCATCACTATCGGATTTGTCAGGTGCTTTGTTGTGACGTCTCTGTTCTTCAGCCCATGACACAACGAATTTGTCGTGGGCCCTTCGTCGTGTGGCATCTGTGGCACATGTAGACTCTTGACTCTTGATAACGCCCAATCCAGCCTCTTCAGAGGTTTGACCATCCATGTCCGGGAGGGTGATTCATCAACCGATCTCTGTCTCTCTCTCTCTATATATATATATATACATAAAGGAGAGAGTAGATTTATGCATGCTAGCCCATGCAGCTCAAAAGCAATGTGACTGGGTCACCGGACTCATCCTTACAGAGGACAATGCCATCAGTCAAGACCTTGTGGCGATGATCCACCTTTCCCCCGGCATCTCATGCGGGAGGAGTATGAATGACAACATGTTTTTCACCCAGCCTCTCCTGCAAATGGTTTGTAACTATATTTACAGTATATACTCTACACTCCGTCCCTAGGGATCCAGTCGTATCTTCGAAGCCGAAGCTACGACTAGACCCTCCTGGCACCTACATAACACTGTCGAACACATCACCGTACCTGAAGTTCGGCACGACTGGATCCCTAGGTCCTGGAATCATCCTGAAGGTCGTGGATGGTGCCCCTTGGATGACCATGTTGCTCAAACCAGGGAGTGTTAAGTTCTCTAAATGCTTGCAAACATGCCGAAGATCCCAGAAGTCCTTGCAGCCCACACGTTTCCTCACTCTGCAGAATATTTTGCCAAGCCATCACTGTCTTGGGGACCCAGCAGAACTCGTGTGGCATTTCTATGCATTTGGGGATAGGTCGTTCAACCCATATAGCGAACGACCTTCTAGGCAGGCCAACCAATTAAGGTATGCTGGTGCGGAAGAAAACTTGGACAAGTTGCAAACTGTTTGGGTGCCAACTCTGCTTGAAACAACTTGCAACCATGCTCAGGCTCGCCTTACTCACACCTCTCCAGCCAAACAGAAGCAGAAACACCACCCAAAGACTCCATGTATGGACTGTTGACCTACATTGACACCATTTTTTTCAACCCAATGTATGTAAAAAGAGACTCTGAAAAAATGTAAAATTTTGATGATATCATGTATCAATTGTTGGTGAAGATTGACTAGTCCCATATGGTGCTTGGCTGTGTGATGAACCCGCCAGTCCCCCCTGAGCCCTCCCAACGCCCGTGGCCCACGAGAGGATGATGTCTTCGCCGAGCTCTTGTGAGGCCTGCGTGCTTCGTTCGAAAAAAATGTAAGGACTTCCAGGCGGAGAAGTGGATGCCAGGTCTGCCATCATTTTCGGGGTGCTCGGACTAACACGACCTCTAACACAACCCAGGAGGGTACACGACCTCTATGGAAAGAAATGGAAGTGGAAAGAAAGGATGGGAATCATGGGAAGACCATTTTCTGGAGACCAAACAGGGGATTCTCCACTTCGTTTCTTGGCGGATGAGTTGCACTAGTTAGTTGTAGTCTCAGGAGCACCCTCCCGAAGTAGAAACTTTCAGTCGTGTAGCTCCTGAGCTCCTTTTCTTTTCATTTCTTTCCATCTCAACCTCGATCGATGTCCACTTCGCCCGCGCAGTCGCCGTCGCCTGCGGATCCTCCGGGGAGAATTCGCCTCGCGACGTGGCACCGTGGCCATGTCGTAGCTCCGAGCTCGAAACGGCCCAGGGGGTGGTTGAGTTTGGGGGGTCTTTCTGGGGCAGCATACATTCTCCCAGACAGGTCGTGTATGGGAAATCATTCTGATACACTAGGAGTGACGGGCCCAGGACCTGCTATTACGTGTATAAAAATATGTGTATATATATATATATACAGAGTGGCGTTTACACAAAACGTGACCGGAAAAACAAAAATACCGCGCACTCGCGAGACAGGTCAGCAGGTCCCGTTGCAGGGTGTCAGCTGTGCAGACACGCCCTGCCCAAACAAGACACACGTCAAAAGGCTCACGGCCAAGGACGTGCTAGATCACGGGCCGAACGGATTGGACGGCGCGCCGCGAGCAGCTGGAGCCTCAAATCCACTTGGGAAGCCGTGGCCAAAGGCCACGGAAGTTCAAAGGCCTCAAAACTCTTGTGGAGACCTTACTCTGGCCTCGTTGCAACCGAACAGCAAACCAACAGGTTCAGAGAGTTCCGCACTCTATCAAAAAGATAACTAAAGGACCTCAAGCGGGTTGCCAGAGTAACCAAGGTCTCGCCAGCCCGAATTGAGCTAGGGAGGCTTCCCACCTTTCTGGTCTCCTTTCCCTTTTCCCTTTGGGATATCTTTGCCTTTGCCCTTTCCGGTCTTGCCCCCATTGCCTTTCTCCATGACCCTGTCAACCTCCATAGGGACTGCACCATCCTTGTTTGCATCCTGGCCCAACATCATGGCATTGTTCCACTTCAGTGTAGCACTGTCGTACTGGATGATGCCGGTGTAGTCTTGTGTCTCAGCCACATTGAGTTGTAGCCATGTCTTCAGTTGGCCAGTCACACACCTCATGAGGACCGCAAACTTGATGGTGTCATCGAGCTTCATGCCTGTACGCTCGTATTCGCTGAAGGCCTCTTCGAGCTTGAGCAACTGGTTGAGCAGGTTGCCCTTCTTGCCATCGAAGGCACTCTCCCAATGACCGGTTTTTGCTTGCTGGTTCAAGGCTCTTGATCAGCAATCTATATGCCTCCAGTCCATTGGCCTGCTTGACCTGTTTGATCAAGGCTAACGGCCTCTGCCTCACCAAGGACGCCAGGATGGAGTACAGGAAGTTGCTTCTTTGCTTTTCTCGATTACCCCAAAGCGAAGGGTCCACGGGCCTGTCAGGGCGCTCCCGCAAGTCCTTGAAGTCGCTGACAAACTTGCGAGGTGTTGCTCTAGCCCCCAACTGAAGTCTCTCCACAAGCTGAGCTCCTCTTCCCTTGAGCTGGGATTGAACCCATTGGGCTTCGGCAACGTCTTGAACCAGAAGGGCTCGTTGCCTGCTCTTGCTTGCTGCTGGTGGTGAAGCGCTTGGGCCGCCATCTGAGCTGCTGCACTGGCGGCTTCAGTGGCCTGCATCATGCGCCTTGCAATCTCTGACCCGTCCAGGGCTGCCTGTGGAGGTCCTCCTTCTTGTCCAGCCATCGTAGGGCTCGATGTTCTCAAAGTCCCTGAGGCTCAGCTCCACGCTCAAGTAGGTGCTAGCAAGTGCCTTTGAGCTCCTACAGGCAAACTCCACCTCCAGGGGCCACTTGCGCTGATTGCCGATCTCTTCCTCCAAGGAGCCTCTTGCGCTGATTGCTAGCGGTGATGGCACCAGCACCTCGCGAGGAAAGGGCCGTGGCCTGGCAGCCAAGATCCTGGCAGCTTGGTTCCTGGAGCCTCACGTCAGACCAGAGGAATGACGATCCTTGGCTCCGCTACCATGCGGATCTTTTGATGCTGTAAAGCGGGCCTTCGGTGCACATCGTTTCATGTGTGCGTGTCATCCTTACGCAGGGGTCTGAGTGCTTGTTTCCATCATTCGCAATATGAGCGTGTTTCCTCACGTTCCTAAGAGAGGATTTCGCGCAACCGTTCCGATCTTGAGCCAAAATGGCTACGGAGTAAAAAAACAAATACAAAAAGCAGGCCTGTTTGTGACCTCAACTCAGGGGATCAAAAGGTTACTGGGAAGCTCCAGGTGGGTGGTATGGCATATATGCGTACATTGGGTGGTTTCAGGGGTCAATTGATCGGCATATATGGCATACACGGAGTGTCTGGGAATGGTATTTCCCAGTCCCTGACTCCCGATAGATTTTGTGGGAAAGAAAGGCGAAGACAGTCCCAAACTCCACCTGGTCCATCTCTGCCAGTGAGACTGCCTCAATGCAACTCTGATTGCCAGTCCACATGATGGCAGAGTCAAGGGGAGTGCCTCCTCAATCCCGTTCGCTTGGGTTGGGGCAGGTGATCCCCCTGATTTCCCCCGCAAACCATCCCGATGGAACCCAGGAGAATGGACTCTATACATATATATATATACATACATATTGAGTAGTAACCATATACACTTAGCTTAACCATTTTCTTCTGCAGACCGTTGTCTTTTTTCTTTTTCTTCGGTGCTCCGACCGTTTGGGAACACGTGGGGACCCCTCCCACCATGCCCTCCGGTCACGGCGGACGGGTCACGCGGCCAGTCCCAGAGGGGTCCTACTCATGTCGTGTGGAAGCGACCGTCTTATCTATAGGTCTTAGTGACTTAGTGTCAGGCAGGTCAGAGGAATGTGCTGGGCTTTCTCTATTCCAAACGAAAGGACTTGAAAAGGTGACATGCAAACACTATAATATCATGTGTGTTCAGTTAACCATAATTATCATCCAGCCCAACGTTCCCAACTGATCCCTTCTTCCTTAAAAACCAAGTCCTTGAAGACTTGAAGCAGCCAAGACGTTGCTTCCAAACAACACGTCGCTTGATGATTTAATGGCTCCATGCTGTTCTTTAGTGAGTGGTTGCAACGTATTATCAAAATCTACACCCCAACATACCCCAACGAACACATCACATTTTGTGGAGTAAAAAAAACTGTTCGTAAAGGAAAGTCGTCTTCCTCGGGACGCCATCCGCTTCCATGGGAACATGAGACAGAGTGTCTGTCACAGTGAATCATATATTATTCAAGTGTTTCACATGAAACTGCCGAGAAGTACGTAGAAACAAATTGATACACTCCTTGCCACCTCTTCCTCGGTTCACGGACGGCATGTCACCATATCCCGTGACGTTACCTGAATATATGCCCATCAAATATACAAGCCTCATCAACCGACACTCCACCAAGGAAGCATGCCACCCACTCAACCAACCAACCAGCCAGCGAGCCAGCCTACCCACTCCCGGCAACCAAACCCACATCACCAGCACATCACCCGCGTGCTGTGCCTTCTGCACTATCACAGGTGCTGCTTTCTTGAACATCTGGGCACAGTCACAAGCGAGCCAAGTAGGTGGATTGCGAAACCCTCCATGAAAAGCACCATGCTGGAGCCAATTCCAATGAGAACCAAACATCATTTGTGCTGGCTGCACCAGGACTAAAACCCTGTGTGTGAAGTCGAGTCCCAGTCCTAAGCCCTCCCGACTGGAGGAGGCATGCGGCACTAACAGGGACTTGGAGTGGGAAGAAACACACACAAAAAACACAGCTTGACCTCATACCTCTGTTGTGGTATGCTGTTCATCCAGCGAACATGCCACCACCAGTCACTCCATGGGAGGTCTCCACAAGAAAAACACCAGCAGTGTCCACTCGAGATTATCGATCAAACAAAAACCTTGTATATTGAGATGTTGGACAATCCAAGTGGGGGAAACTATTGATCAACAGTCAACCTTACACTCATAACTGGCCAGGCTCAAACCCTGCTTCAAGATCTCTCCCTGGCAAATTCATAGATTTGCTTCTTCAGAACCGATAATATGAATATATGATATATTAGGGAACCACATCCCTCTGAGGTGTGAGCACGGAGAGTCTTTTCTGTGCACTCGGAGTGTCCGTCCTCACCGTACCTCAGAGGCCGGGATCCCGGCATCAGATGCCTCAAGTACTTCGCCCCAGAGTCGGGACCATCGAACCTCCACCAGAGTCGCCGTCTCCATCGACCGCCTTCGGGTGGGCGAAAGACCTCTTGATCGGTGCCGTAGCTCCGCATGAGTTCACCGACCTGGCGGCGGAACTCGCGGAACTCGGCTCCCTCCTTAGGCTTAGGTGGTGAAACCAGGCTTGGGGGCAAGGCAAACATCAAACAAAGATGGGTGCATTTTAAGAGGGAGACCTTCAGACCCTTCAAACCTTGCACCCATTATTGCGGCTAAGCTGCTTTGTGGTTTGTCGAACACCTGTATTACTGTAGGTGTCTCTGGACCCCCTCAATATTCGCGAGGGTCTACCAATGGGTTTGTGGTCTATTTCCCTTCTTCAAGAAGGGTTGCACTGGGAGGTCTCCCATGGTATCCCTACTTTAATACACACCCATCTCGGTAAAATTTTCCGGGTCATGGTGGAAGTAATCTTGGTGTGGTGGGCCTCCTGGTCATGGTCAAGTCTGGCTCTGGGTCAAAACCAAGGTACCTTGCACCACTTGCGCGGAATCTGAACACTCCCGAAACACCCGTTGATACGACTGTGGTATTGGGCGTGAAGGAGGTGAACAAAACGGATGATCCTATCCTGAAATGAATGCACCTATAGAGCGAAGGAAGCTTCGGCAGTGCAGTTAAAACCGACATTTCATTACTTAGACACTTGACAGTATACCCCAGACACCGGACTTTAAAGCCATGGCGTCCGTTCCTTCCTGTTGTCCGTGTGTTACTTTCCCGTTGTATTGTTCACACTGAGGAACGGCAGCTGCTTTGTTCATCTTTGCTCATGCAATGCGACCATACGTCTCCAAGTCTTTAGTGCCATTGTTTGTTCTGCTTTGCGCTGCTTCTCAGCGTCTTGAATAAGACAGCCGAACTCGACATGGTCCCAGTTTCCGCATTGAGAGTCGTTATTGGAAGAGGATCCCGCCGCTCCTCTCCTGCACTCCCCGACGTCAACAGCAAGCTCCTGATCACAGTGGGCACTCCCATTGAAAAATGGTCTGAGCCAGGGGAAGTTGGGTGCACATCACTCCGTTGAGCAAAGAAAAGCGGCCAACCAAAACACGCGCGCCAGCGGCAAAACATCAGCATGTCCGACGCAAAGAGGGAACTGGAATGCCACTGGTCCGGTCATGGGCGCAAGCTATAGCGGCATCACCATCCCATGACGATCCCACGTGGGCAGACGCAGGAGCAACAGCCCCGCCGAGGAACCACATCCGATTGGTGGTCGTGTTGTGGCCACGAAAAGGTCGGATTGGCAGATTCCTCATGACATGTTATGCCCGGATTGCACCGATGTCCTCCCATGACCATTTCTTCCTCCTTCGGGTGGTTGGTCTCATTGTTGACTGCATTCTGCTTCAAAGTTCTCAAGAACACACACCGGATTCAATGGCAGGAATGCACCAAACAGGCGCGCAATGATAACGACGTGAACTCTACTAACGTTCAACTCTCGGCTGTGATATCAAATAGATCGAATCCATACTCTAAGGTCTTCCAAGCGACACTGAGAGGTCTATAGATCACATGCAGTGGACAAGGATGACTCCAAACACACACGTGGGCACCATAAGGCACGTGAGGTTGGACTGACACCAGGTCCCGAGCCCACGAGCGTGGAGGGTCTGGGCCAACAAGTCCGAACAGCTGGTTGAAGATGAGATGACCCAAACGCGAGGAGTGTGGGACTGCCATAGGACTGCCAATCAGGCCAGGGGTGGTGCCAGGGGGGTCTGGCTTGATCGGCAGTCCTATTCCAGTCCCATGGAGCCTATGGGTGATGCAAAGCGTTGTCACACAACGCAAAGGCGGCCAGGAGCCATTGGCATCACCCGCCTCCGGCAGCAATGCATGTGTGACCTTTGTCGAGCAGCGCTTGGGGAGCATGTGGATGTCGAAGCGATGGCCTTTGGTGTCGCCTGTTTCAAAGCTTGCCAGGATCCAGCCGTTCAACGGCGACAGCTGAGCGGGGTAGCATCCAATACCACGAAAGCCTCATTGACGACATCCAATGAAATAGACCACTTTCGCTCTGAAATGGTGCGTATGTGTCGAATATCCTGCAAAGCAACGAAAAGCAGTGCCGGTTTAAAGCGTTAACATTGAGATCAAACTCCAACCAGTAAGAAGTTCCTCCAGTTGGCATCGCGAATCGCCACAGGGGATGTTCATCGTAGCTTGCTTGAATGCTACATACCTGGAGTATGCAGCGATACATTACTGCAGGAGGTCTTGCAGTGCTGAAATAGGAATGCAAACTCAGCGCTGCCAGAGATACCTTGGTTGACCTAGCTGGAGGGTCTTTCGCTGCATGGTGGACCAGGGCTCCAGGTTTTGACTCAACCCCAATTGACTGGAAGACACACATTTTGGCAGAACGCCCGGGGGCAGAGGTTAGGGACAATGATCTTCTGGACATCCCAATGTTCCAAAGGGGGTTCGAAGAAAGTGCTCCATGTCAAAAATTGAGTTCTATACATGGTTCCACACTCAAGTCAGCCGGTCCATGTTCAAATCAGCCAGTGCGATGTCGGAGGAAGAATTGGAGTGGTTCCTGTCTTCCATGAAGACGAACGACACAATAAGGGTCCAACCTTCAAGCTGAAACTTTATGCAACCATTCGGGGCACAGGTCCCTCCAAGCATTCAGCGCCATATTTGGATACAACATGATACGAGTGTTTTGGAATGTTGTAGATGACCATGTAATTTGAAGAACCCTGAGGCAAAATACATGCGAACAAAAAATAATTTCACAAACCTTTCATGTACTTGAACACAAAAGCACATCGAACAAATTCACCTCCCTCCGCAGTACCTGTCCAAATTGACCACCACTGAAGTCTGAAACCAAAGCGAAACCGCCGTTCCACGGCCCTTCGGCGCACCGAGACGTAGGGGAAGTTCGGCAGATCACCATGGAGGCATCGAGGACCTGAGAAAATGCTCTGAGATCCGCTGGAAGTGGCTGGGACTGTGAGGTGAAAAGACCGCTTTTGTTTCTGGTTGGGTCTGGTGATTTCTGGTGGCAGGGATGTTTTGGTGCATGTTTCTGGGCTTTGTGGGCTTGGGGCCAGGCTCAGGATGCCAGGATGATAAGACCCAATTCGTCGAGTCATCCTAACTGACCAAAATGTCGTCGTTCACTTGGGAAAGAACATACAAACCCAACACTCCAAGGTACAGGTGTTGAATGCAGTGTTGTTGTGGTTTGATGGGAATACTGACGTCAGACTAGATTGTTGCGGTGCAACAACATGAGGAAACAAAGCTCTATGTCTTTACAAGGCCTCTTGGATGCATCTAGGGTCTTCCTGTCGCCGAGCTTGCTCGGTGCTTCTGGCCTTTCTCTCACTTGATCACAAAATGGTCATCTTCTCTCACAGGCCAAACATGTAGTAGTGTCAACAGAAATAACTCCAGCAGTTGTCCTCTTCAAGTTTACTCACTGACGACGGTTGACAACCAGGTTCGTGGGAGCCATTACCCTAATCATCCCTAATCCTTCTTTGCGTGGCACTTGCAGCGACGACGCATCTTCAAATGAACCCCTTGACATCCACAAGGGGTTTCAAATGCCTGCAACTATTCATAACTATTCCATGTGATTTCTGACCATTGTCGAAACCAGTCAAAAGAACGGGGCATCCAAACACATTTACTAAATTGCTGGGTGATTAATTACAAAAGGTGCTGATAGTGTTTTTGATAAATCAATGTCAGTGTTCACTGTCCTGCTGATGCAGAAACAGCTTGGCAGCTCATCTAGACGAAGGTCATAGCTGTCAACATCAAATAGTTTTATCGAGCATAGCTCCATGCCAGAATGGTGGTTTGCCTTTTGAAGGCAATGAGAAACCATCCCAGGGCTTCAGTCCTGTACCTCAACATGGCAATACCTTTTGGGTCGGTGCAGTTTGTCATTTGGAGTTTTTCTGCGCGGCTGCCTGGTCGAAAATTCGGGAGGTCTCCCTATGTTCAATCCAAATAGTTATTTTTGTATGCAACAAAGAAAACAGGGTGAATAAATGAATCAACATATATGTTGTGTTTTATCTCTTTATCTCTTTCTTTAATTAAATCTATGTTTCACCTCGTTTAACACAAACGCTGCACTGCGGCTGGCTTCGCCACACCCCGTCTCACCCGCCAGCAGACCATCGGCTCCCGGCAGACCATCGGCGTCAGCGGGGCTGGGGAGGTGGGCACCTCGGTTCCGCTCCCGAGGAACGAAGGGTCAGGTGGTCGGTGGTCTCGGTTCTCTTTAATGTAAAACGACATACTTGGTGTGTTTTGTTTTGTGTTTTCTGTGTTGTTGTTTTTTTTTCTGTTTTTCTTTTTTTTTTCGATCATTTTCCCTAAAAAGGCTGACTGGTGCGGTGCTTATAGTAAGGGAATAAGGGAAGTCTCACATCAATAATTCGAGATTGTATTGGATCCAGATCCAGCCACCCTCATTCCCTACGAGTCGCACAAGTCAACAGGTCAGTTGGTCATACTTGAACACTACTCAAGCAGGAAAATGACCAGTTCTTACTGGGTCAGACTGGACCCTCCTGGTGCCTACATAAATAGTCTCCCTGCTCACCATACCTCAGCTTCGATATGTGGATCCCTAGGGAAAACGGATGGCACTCCTCTTCCAATCCTCTCCTCATGTCGAACCTTGGATCGAGCGATTTCTCCCCAGCGTTGGCTCCAGGTGTTGACCCATGTCTGCCTGTTTTCCTTGGAACAACCAGGCTTTGACATGGCTTGACCGAGCTTTCCGGATGTGATCTTTAAGTGATGGTGAAAGCATAGGTGATCCACGTACTTCCTCACATAGGCTCCAACAATCATGGAAGTGGATGGCGCTGGAAAGACCCTTGTCCGAATACCAAACAAAGGAATTGTCCCCACAAAGCTTATCTACCGTACCAGTGATCGCCCAGTGCCACACGGCACTGGCAGAACAAAGACTTGCGGCTCGCCCGACTGACCGTCACAAAAGCTGATCCACTGACTTCCACACTGGGTCATTCCTAATCCCAGACACGACTAATGGGACTGCCATGTCGGACTGCCGAGAAACGGCCAGGGGTGGTGGCGGGGTCTGGCTGGATCGCTGGATCGGCAGTCCGACATGGCAGTCCGCAGGTCGTGTCGACACTCTGACCCAGTGGAAGTCGATGGACACTTCGATCCCAAGTGTCAAACGTTCTTTTCTCGAAGGTGCCAAACGTGCCCTCCACATCATATATTATTAGAGGCCTTGGGAAGGTCTTTCCGGAAAGGGTCCCAAGGACGTGGAAACAGGCCTTTCCTATAGGAAAGGATCCTGTAGGAAAGGTCCACATGTGAGTCTGGGACCTTTCCTATACTAGGCCTTTCCTATAGGATCCTGTGCGATACAGTATCTAGGGCCTCTAGGATCCTCTAGGGCCTCTAGGGCGTCCCCCAAAAAGAAGAAGCACCCAGAGCACCAGCCACGGTGGCCTCGGAGGCAGAGACACGCGGATGCCGTCCACCATGATGCGCCTAGCGTGGCGTGGCGCGGCGACCACGGCACGGCGGGAACGTGGTAGAGATGGAGCCTAAAAGGATGAAGCTCAAGATCCCCTCCATCGGAGAAATCGGATGGACCGTGAAATAGGACCAAATGGTCCGAGATGTGTTTTGTGTCATGGCCATGTGGGGATGTGTGGGGGAAGAAACTGATGAGGAAGCACAAATCGAATGGGTTTTCTTTAGCTTCATGACTTGAGAATGCTTGAGATGTGTCTGCTTTTTTGTCTGTGTGCACAGGCACGATGACTCATGACTCGGCTTCATTCGTCGAATAGAATGTATCCGAAACACTCCATGGATGGCATGCTTTACATTGAAGTGGTTGTGGTCAAAGCTTCGAGTCTGGAAAGACCTCAAAATCTCTTCGCTCCTATCCAGTCTCATCAAAGAAGAGTCTCATCCAGTGGTGCTGTTCCAAAACATAGCAGGAGTGGAGAGTCGGGCTGGTTCTTGGAACAGCCTCTGCAGTTGATCCATTCCACTTGGGCTCTCTTAATGCTGCGAGCGCCAAATTTCGTGGATCACTGGAAGGTCTTGGGGTGGGAGATGTCCACCGTTCTGAACGTGCTTTTTCTGCAAAACAGCCCATGATGTCCCCTGTTCACACCTCTGGCGGGTTCAGCTCTTGCGCAAGCTGTCCAACCTGAAGCCGCAATGCGGGAGTTCAACATACATGACAAATCCAAGATTCTTCTAAAGGGCCAAAACTTGAATTAGACAAAGTTCAATACTAATCTGTCGAACATTGCAAATGACATAGATCAACAAGAGTCCAGGATTCGTTCAAAAGTAAAGTCAATCAAGGCGATCTTCCCTGGACGATGCTGCCTCTGCTTTGATGATTCCAAGCCACCGACACTGACAGGGGAATGGCACCAAACGTGAAAACAAACAATACCTATCTGGCTGAGTCATGTTTGCGGGTCTTCACAGTTTGTTTCACCGACACCGGCACCCCATCTGTACCAAGATCGCCGAGATCCGGAAGTTGGAGCATTCCACAAACCCTATAGGTTCTCTTCACGTATCCAGCTTGTCAATTAAAGAAAAGCTTCTGTCTCATCAGCTTTGACAAAGCAAATCCCAAAAGAATTACCCTCCTCCAGATTGACGTGTAGAGGAAAATGGTCTTCCACGGCTGAATTCTTCTTAGGATCCATGTTAGACTAGTTCAAGAAACTATTTCATTGAAGAGCTGTGAGGGTTCTACGAGGTATTCGACGAAACAGGGATATGCAAAGGCTCCGGAGTCTCTGGTGCGCTGCTTGAGGGTCACTTTCGATGACTTCCATCTGGCCCTCTGTAGTAGTACATAGTTATTTAGCGTGTTATAAGTTATAGCGGTATATCCGAGATTTAAATGTTGACCAAAGGCAAGTTGTCCAAAGGCCACGGCACTCATCACTGTTACAACAAATTGCGATGGCAATTCCTGTGCTATAGTAAAACTTTGCAAAATGGAATTAATGGGTCAATTGACCCATACTGATCCTGCCATATCTGTCAGTGTCAGGACACACAAAAAATCACTTGGTGTTCAGTTAGTTTTTTTTTATGGGTCCTCCCGTGTGCGTGGACCATGTGGGTGGCACCCTGGAATAATTTTCTTATTATTCCAGGGTCATGCACATACACGCGTGTAAATTATTCCTGGTGTATCCCACACAGTGGAATAATTGATGCAATGCATACAGCTCATATGCTTGGCTATGCTTAGAATTCGGGGGGGTCATGGCCTCCTCAAGCAGGAAATGTTTGGAGCCGATCCTATAGGGCAGGAAGTGAGAGTTATGGCCTTCTAAAACAGGAGAGGCTTGGAGCTGATCCTATCTTTCTTTCTTTCAAGTGGACACTTCGATTGGACGGACCGGCAGGATTGAATTCGGTTGTAGGCCTTAAAGAGCGCCAAGATCAGTTCTGAGATTCACAAGGATCGTCACACCAAACACAAAATATTTCTGATGTCTAACAGGAGTTGGTGGCCCCAGAATAATTTTCCCGTTTGTGGAGAGGTTGGTGAGGGGTGCAGGGAGGTGGGCTGTCTGTGTCTGGCCGTGCCTTCACAGGGCCTGGGGCCAATGTGAAGATACTACCGACTTCGTTGCCAGTCTCAATTGTCTCACCCACTTTCGATGTTTGATAATATTCGGCAACGATCTGCTACTTGGAGGCCTAGCTTCTCCCAGTGGGTGCATTCCCTGAGCACAGGAGCAATTTGTTCTGATGTCCAACAGGGGTTGGGGACCCCAGAATAGTTTTCTCATTACTGGTGGCCAGTGTGGGCAAAGTGTGCAGGGAGGTGGGCTGTCTGTGTCTGGCGATGCCTTCACAGGGCCAATGTGAAGATACTACCGACTTCGTTGCTAGTCTCAATTGTCTCACCCGCTTGCGATGTTTGATAATATTTGGCAACGATCTGCTACTTGGAGGCCTAGCTTCTCCCCTGAGCACAGGAGCAATTTGTTCTGATGTCCAACAGGGGTTGGGGACCCCAGAATAATTTTTTCATTACTGGTGGCCAGTGTGGGCTAAGTGTGCAGGGAGGTGGGCTGTCTGTGTCTGGCGATGCCTTCATAGGGCCTGGGGCCAATGTGAAGATGTGAGAAATTGGTATATGGCGTGTTTGAGCCAGAATCTCGAATCATTCGCCAGCTCTGCATTGTGAACACAACGACTTCCAAAACAGCTGATTCGATCTGTGAAGTCTGGAGGCGCTCCCTTAAACAATTATTCTGCGGTAGGCAGAGGTTCGTCAGGATTATTATTCCATGGTTCCCCCTGGTCTGGGTTCTCCATGGTCAAAATAAATTATTCCAGGAGTGTTTTTTTAGAATTATTCCTGGAAAATTATTCCTGGGGGTTACCCGGACACTGGAATATTTATTTAAGGGAGCGGCCATTTTTTTTTCCAATCCCAGCCACAGCAATGAACCAAGGAGCTGTTCGTGTTGCGATGTTGAATGCTTCCAAATGTACACTCAACCATCTCCGCATACCTCCGCCAACACCCCAGGCCCTAATTGTTTCATCTCTTGTCCAAGAAATATCCCGCTTCCACCCCTCACCACAGCCAGAGGCCTTGTTGGGCATCACACAGCCAGATGTCCGGCGATTCATCTGAGCAGGATCCGTCCGATCCGCAGACCATTTTCTCGTGGAAAAGATCAGCGAGTTGGTGGGGTTTGAACTGGAATTGGACATCGGATCTTAGAGCTACAAACATCCACTCCCTAGGGATCCACATACCTTCTCAGAAGCCAGGTACTTGGGCCCTCCAAGCCTACATAATTAGTCTCCAATCACCTTCTGAGAAGGTATTTGGATCCCTGGGGACTAATGTTCAGTTCAAAGGTTCCTTCTGCATTCCTATTCCCACAATTTACAACAGACACCACAAGCAAACGTGGCAGGGACTACTTGCTCTTCAACACGGCTTAGAAGCTGTAGGAAGGATTTCGCATGATCAAGTGAGGTTTCAACTGGCACAGCTTCGGGGTTTGGTGACCAAACATTCACCACGCAGTCGGGACGAAGCCCTTAAACACCCTATCCCAATAGCACAAATGGTGGCGAATCGGCACAGCGGCACATGCTTTTATAGTCTCTAATCGGGCATCCTTATTTCCCTCCATCTGTGGCAAGAAACACGGAGCATCAAGCCTCCTAACAGGGTCCATTGACCCTCTCCGGGTTGGTTCATATCATCCAAAAATGGCCATCCACCACCATCTGCAGCTCAACGAAAGCCACCCGGATGTCTTCCAACACCCCAAGAACCATCGAGATCCCCCCGAAATTGGAGCCCCACTCTCGGTGAGGCGTTGGGTTTCTCCTCGCGAGACGGGCCACATCGTGGCGGCGGGTCTCGGGTGCGAGGACGCGTCATTTCAGAACAAGTAGGTGTAGTTAAGCATGAACCCTAAACATGGTTCAGCAGGGTAGGTCAGAACAAGTAGGGTGTGCTTCTACTTAAGCATGTTCTTTTAGCTGATTAGTAAGTGATAGAGCGAAACCCGTTTCACGATTTGGTTTCTGGGGACGTTTCACGGTTCATGGGTTCATCCAAAAGAAGAACACACACAATAAGAACTCGTGTCCTCTGGGGAAGTGCTAGAGGAAGGTGTGGCAGTGGGTATACAGTTTAAGATCCAGCATTCCAATCAGTTGTCATGGCTAGGGATGTTCAAGCTGCTGGTTCACGCTAGCTTCGTCTC